GGATTCCTTACTCGGTCCAGTTCTCAGGGTATTCTTTAATATTCGTTAAAGAGGGCCTGCTGGACTCATTCTTTAACATTCGTTAAAGACGAATTGTCAAATTTTCTGAAACGTTATTTGAAAGAGGAAATGTTATGCACCGAACTGAGTTGTTACAAATAGAAAAACGATTCTTGCAATCAAAATTTATTCAGTTAATTTTTGTTTATTTATGTGATATAGAAAGATGCTAAAAGACTATTGTCATCTTAAGCCACTGAATTCGAAACCAAACGGCGGGACCATAAAACTGAATGAGCGGTATGTTTCAGGAATTCAATTTTTGCTTCTGTTTCTTTCGAATTTTAATATCCTATGATTTATTACAAATTTTTTTAGTCTGCTGGACTCATGATGGAATATTCCACTCTGTAATGCACGTTGATCCGTGAAATTCCTAGAAACGAGTCACATTGATTGAATATTGAAAATAACGAAATTCGTTTGGCATTATATCAATTGCCATTATTCAACGTACCTGAACTTTTTTCCCTCCACTTGGCTTGATTTTTTTCGCAGCTCTCTGTAATATGCGGTCGATCAAACGCTCGTAGAAATCCGGCGCAACGTTTGCGACTGGAACGGTCACCGATATTTTAGTTACTGTAGGTCACTGGAACGGTCAACGCACTGCGACGTCGACATAACCGAGCTATGGTGTGACGTGACATGTCGCCGGCCCTCGACATAACCGAGCTATGGTGTGACGTGACGTGTCGCCGGCCCGAGAGCCGTGCGTGGCTGCTTGAGAGCGTGCAAGGGATAGATCTGCTAAATGACTAACCGTTTGTTCTTATGCGGTCTCTCACCAAGTTCGTGGTCGACATCATGCCGATCTTACGCCAAAAAGCCGGGTTCATAACGGCGCCAAAGTGGTCTTTACATGCTTTACCGCGGTGTGGTTGCGGCAGTAACGCCTATGAAGATAGGCGTGCTGCCGTTGGTAATGTCAGCGCCAATTTTTTTTACCGAGTAGTGAGCCATGCTAATGGACTTTTCGTACATGACTTTTGGCGTTATCGTTCACTGTTGTAACATTATTTGCTATAGATAAGCGAAATAATTTCCCGAGAACAATTTTCCGGGAACCTTTTAACACAAGCAAATAATAATAATAATAATTAAGTTTTCGAAAACAATTCAATCCCTTGAATGAGATTAAGTATACCGTAATGGTAATTTTTGTATTTTCACAGGAAGCAGTTGCCATGAATCGAACGACAAATAATTTTTTAGTCAATAGAAACATCGATCAATCGCAATTAAAATTATACGTATGTCATTGACATTTCCTGTTCGGTGATCGTCGTTGAGATATGAAGCGGATCGAAAATCAATCTTTCTTTATACACCAATCAAATATCCCCAATTTACCAACAATTACTTCGCACGGGACCAACCAAGTTTAAAACCATAAGTCGATACTTTGATTGAATAACTTCAAATTTTGTTTACTTGCCTGTAGTTGCATTTTATGTAATGTCAATGGGTCAGCCATTTCGTACTTCCCTTTAAGAGAGTGAACATATGGGGCAGAGTCCAGGCGTCCATAATTAGTAAAAATCCATCGGCGCCAGCTTCACGAAGTTCTCAAATGTTCACAGCACCCTAGTCGCGGTCATTGATTGAGTAAACTCTGGTCTGAATTCAATAACAGAAAACTTCGAAATATTTATAGTTTCACCCTTTACTTCCCATTTACTCCTGACACCATAAAATCCATATTCAGATTAAACGCAACATTAACCCGCAGTCTATTGTCTATATTATATTATATATTGTCTGTTACTATCCGGGGCTATTTCTACTTCATGATGTTTACCCCAAAGCATTTCTCCAGTGAAAAAAGGCATACAAAAAACCATTGAAGTTCAAAAAATAATCTCCGTTAATTAGATCATTGATTATTTTTTGTCTTGGTTTACACATGACTTGATGAAGCTCCTAAAAGTTTACACGTGTCACTCCGGCATGTTGCAAACTGAGCAACGTCAGGAATATCGATCAGAAAGTGTTTGCCTTTGCCTTCAAAAGCTGTCTAATGAGCTATACTAACGACTATACCACATAAAGCTCCCACAAGTTGTAGCTTCCCTTTTGTTAGCGGGCTAGCAGACACGTATATAATAATTCGATTTTACTAGAATTCATTTTTGAAACTATTATTTCCTTTATAATCCAAAGTTTAAAGATACTAGAATCGAAATAATTTTTTCGTTGCATTGATCTCTTTTGCTGATGAATCGTTAAACACTTCTATTATACTCTCCTAATAATAATAAGATTCTATAAATGTGGTCAAGAACTTTATTTATGCATGGCTTGTCATAAAATAATTCTCATGAATTATTCCGATTAAGGTTCGGGCGGTTGATGAATTTTTGAATCACACTTCGATTCGTCTTTGAGAAATCTCTAAGCCGAAATAATGGTATTTCAGTGTCTGAAGTGAGTTATGCTATATAACCCCTGTTATTGCATTGCCAAGGTAATAGAAACAAATGAGGAGGAATGAAAATTTCGAAGAGCCTTCCTTTTCTATACGTTTAGTATTAACTTTATTATCGTTGCAAAAAATAACAATCGTATGAAGCTATATACCGATGAACGCGGATGCGAATTGCGTACGTTGTGCTTGACTGGAGATTCATTTATAGGTTTAATCAATTTAATTTAAGCTTCTTCCTGTAGGGAAGTTCAGCGGGTTATAAGTTGGCACTACAGGATTATTTCTTTATGCATTGTACTTTCACAATTTGGAATAAATTACTTTTTATCAGTGAAGCGAGGCTGCTTTAATAGATTTTGAAATATTCAGTAGTGGTCGGGCATTAATAATTCAGTTCATTCTATTAGGACGAGAAACCACCAGCCATGATCGTAAGTTAGAAAAGCACAACTGCAAATACTAGACAATTCGGGGGCAGTGTGAGTTCGTCCATGAAGTTGAGGAGTAACTTCTTATAGTAGTGATAATTTAATACTGAACGTACTTTGGTAATTTAATTTGCGATTTTGTTTGAAAAGTACTGAATCAAAGTCGTGATACGCTTATTGCGTTCCCTGAAAACAGATAAAGAGAAGTTAATTCAAGCTCAATCAGGTACAACTTTCTCATGGTCTAAAATGAACCGAACATAAGAGGAGACCTTCGATTAAAATAAATGCTGCTCGATTCGTTATTAATGCACAAGAAAAAACATTGCATAGAAGACCTCTACAGATAAAGTTTGGCAATGCGTTCATTAAAAAGAAGCGCGTATATTCGGAGAACTACTGTTGAATTATCAACTAAGGAAATTTTAATGGTGTACTTGAAAATTAACACTAATAACTTCGAGACAACTTTCATTCATAAACAAACTTATATTCATATAAAGCGCGTTAGTTGTTTTGAGATTATTGACATGTTTATTAATTTTTCGCGTTCGTGCGTCAAAATTTTAACATGAATTTGTACGAAAGTCGAAACGAAACATGCCGCGTCAAATCAGTTTATTTGAAGAACGCAGGGATATGAGAACTAATTTCACGCGAACATTTAATGTAACTCTTGTTACGTGTAATTACTGCCAATGAAAATGCATCAAAATGACAAAAATATTTTAATTAATAGGGAGAAAATTATTAATTGCTTTTGTATCACGTTTCTTGCCGTAAATAGTTTGCTATTTTTTGCCATATAAAGAGACATGCCTTATTGCGTCCAATTGATAGTATCACAAAATTGCGCTTCAGGCCAATGTATTATACGGGTGCAATTAACGTCGTCCTCTGCAGCAAGCTTGTATAGCAAATTATAATTTAGCCCATTAAATAATTATAAAATTATAACATAAATATAATATGTATGAATTTGGCGCATTTAATGAAACATATATAATTAATTGGAGATCTAGTGATAAAACATGTGCCCTACATAATTTTCTTTTCACTTAACTCCCTTAAATTCCTAAGTTAAAAAAACTGTATTTTCAATTATGAGGGCCGCGCTCAATTCAGAGATTTATCAATATTTTTGGATTTTATTTAAACATATCATAGACTCAGCGAATAAAATTTGTCCGAAAATAATAACATAAAAAGAATTTCGAACAAAGCCCGCACCGTAAATTTACTACCGTACGCTGAAGTCTGTGATCGGTATTTTTTAATTCTGAAAGGTGTGTCAAGTAATCCATTTCCTTGAAAAATTTTTATTTTTTTTTTATTTACGGTTTCATCAAAGCAACAAAGATTCAAATGAAATTTTTGTGTAAACGAATAAAGCGATAAAAAAGTCAAAGAAATTTTGTCACAATTTGAAAAAATTCTAGAAAATTTTATATGGTGATACTACAAAGAAACTAAAAGTAAGACCGAAAGTTCTCTCGTGTTTCACTTTTCATCAGAAATATTCCATAATACCTACTTTGTGCAGCACTCTATATATACGATTGGGTCCAAGGAGGCTTTTCTTTCTACATTTAATTAGAGTCTCAAGTTGAATTGAGTGACGTATTGTAAACTAAATCACGATATAATAATATTTGATCAGAATCAGTGGGAACAATATCAGTTGTGGCACAAGCCTCGAACGCGGTCTCCAACAAGCGTGTGCTACGGACCAGTGTCAGCGACGCTACCCTCAGATGGCGACACCTTCCCTCACGACAGTTGCAGGGTAACTGAGTTCGAGGCTCTACTCAGGCGCTCGTTATATACTCGTTAGCAATTCGTCCTTCACTGTGTTAGTTTGCTCACAGCGCTTTTATTGACTAATGATTATTGTGGTTCAAATTGCAAAAAAATATTTTATTTATATCAAAATCATCTTGTACGTGGAAACATGTGCATTTTTAGGTATTGCACTTGCAACATCGAGATATTTCAAAATAAATGTTTGCTAGAAGGAACTGTGTTCCTCCGATTTAATATCGGCCTAATAATCTTTGAATGGAAAGGAAAAATGAAGAAAAACATTGGAGTTGAGATCGGTATATTAACGTACGAATCTTATTACATGCTAGTTGGCGCATAACAGATATTAAAAACACACATGCCCTCATTTTTAATCCATTATGCAACTTTACTCTCCCACAGTACTTTCTCATCATCATCAAGACGATAAATTCACTGTTACATTATACTTAATTTTTAATGATACCCCAGACCGCTGAAAAAGCAAACTATGCATTCACTCCACTTTTCAATGCCAATCTAATTCCTAGCTACAATCAAATTATTATTTTTATGTCATTCTATTAAAATGCTTCAACATAGTTCAGTTACTGTGCTCAATGCTGACACATCGTTGAGAAACTGTAATAAATTTTAATGCGAAGTCAAAGCGAAACAATATTATTATTTTCTTACCGGCGCTCGTTAAGCAAATGTTCATACATTTTGTTAGGACACGTTATTTGGTCTTTGGAGAGCACTGAAAAAAATGAGTTACATGACATTTCTGCGGCGTCCACTTCTTTAAATATGAATACAATGAGTCTATTTCCAGAAGCTATTGTCCAGATCAAGTCTTATTCGTGTTGGTGGATCCAGTCGACGTAGTACGAGACTTCCGTGTACACTCCAGGGTATCCTTTATGGGCACATCCATGTCCCCAGGACGTAATCCCGCAGAGATAATCACCGCACATCATAGGACCGCCGGAGTCTCCTTGACACGTGTCCTTACCTTCTATTCCTGCGCAGATCATGGAAGGGAAAATTTGATCTTCACCATAGCTTTTCCTACACTCGGCGTCGCTGACAATGGGCACGCTCACGAACTGCAGGGTGGCGGGTGCAAACCCTCCTTGGCTTAAGGTCCCCCATCCGGACACGACGGCGTCCCCGTCGAAATTCTGGTATTGTGCAGGGAGGGTCACCCCAGACACATACTCGTTGAAGTCAAGCGGAGGGGAAACTTTGAGCAGTGAAATGTCATTCTCGACAGTATGATAGTTGAAACCAGCGTGCTTGACGATGGATACGAGATCTCGAGCCTGTTCGGTGCCTTCATCAACGTTGAAGGTCAGTTCACCAGCAACAATCTGAAAATTCCGAATAAATATTTAGTTTACGCCAAGAGTATTATCTCTCATGTAGAAGTAATATCAGATTTATATTATTTTCAATATCATTTATCCCTGAAATGAATCGAGATCGTTCTCGTCAATATGCATAGTGTACCTGTTATTGTTGTAAACCTGAGTGTCTCAAAAGTACGTTAAACTAAATTTTGCGCACAAAAATGATTGCATATTACTGATAAATACTGAACAGTTAATGTGCGACATATAATGTGGTGGAAAGTTCTTAAGTTGATTGCGTTGTACTTAAGGAGGTTTAGTATGAATGACCATGAAATTTTGAGGATTATCATGGCCTTCTTGGTAAGAACTCAATGCGGAGAAAAATAAAGGAAAAATGATTTTAAAATGGTCAGTAGCTGAAAATCAACTAATGTTTGATAAACAGGTCGACGCTGGATCATTGCCTATTAAAGAGGCTATGAATTCACCGCTAAATACATGCATGGCTAAGAATGCTTTCAATCGTCCAATAAAAACTGAAAATATTCAATACTTACCCTCAGATTTTGAGGATGGGTAACGTTTTCTCCGTCGACACAGTGTGCCGCGCAGATCATCGTATCGGGAGTGTAGACGATCGCTCCGCAGAAGGGACTGAAGGTCCCGAAAGTTGTATCCTGGAGGCTCAGCTGGTACGGGAACTGTCCAGGGCTTGCGTCTTGGCCACCGACGATCCTGCTGTGTCCTCTTCTGAACCGTGGCAGGGTTGACGGAGCCGCTGGAAAAGATATTGTTCATGAATAGCATAAATCTTTGTAGCAATAAAACAATCTTTGTGATAAAATAACATAAATAACATAAATAACATGAATAACAAAAGTAACAGTTTTCAATGAAACCTGCTTAAAGGAACAAATTTTGCTAGCATATACTAAGAATAACATAAATTAAAGGTTTGACGATTGTTTATGGAATTTTTAATTTTTTAGGTATTTCAAACTATTCAACCAGACTAAAAAATGTAATATATTCTAAGACACAGCGTCGCTATTGGCGAACTCATTTCCCAACAAAACAATATTTTGCAACGGAAATTCCAAACAAATTTCTCTCTTTTCATTAACGCGTTAATTTTCCGTGGAAGATCATGATCGTGCACAAATTATCCGCAGGGCATTCATTAAAAGATAGATTTTAATGCTATCAGATGGTTGGAGAAACCAAAATTTCGGTCGGATGACATATCAGAAATGACCATACCAGAGTTAATATAATTTTATTATAATAATCTTACAAATAATTTAAAATAGGCTGAATTCGAGCCTTCCAAAGCAGACATGCACATCTATAGCTTCAGATACTAATTTATTCCTACAGTTGATGTTTCCATTGTTTGCCCAGTTTCATTTGAGATACGACCGAATTATTACATCATAATAATAATAATAATAATAATAGCGGTTTCAGCGTTTATTAGGCCGTGGGCCTGTCGCCGATTCTTAACATCGCAGAACATTCACAGCATTTTGCGGTCTCGAACTCACAACTCACTGCTACAGTTCTGCTGTGCTTAACCGCCCGGCCTCCTCGCCGATTCTGACCAGAAACTGGCGCACAGAGCTGGGATCGAACCCGCACCTCTCTGCGCCAATCTTGGTACTCTGAACTTTAACCACTGGACCATAGTGGTTAAAGTCACTCATAGTCGAGAATAGCTTTTGATTTATGCACGTTAATTAATTGAACATTACCAATTAGAATATCATAATGCTTGAGGAGAAGCATGTATATGAAAAGTCTAAGGTTTGAACATCGTACGGCTTAGTTTCTTGATATTTTACGTACCAACGGCAGATGCCACCAAGAGACTGAAGAGGAGCAGCTTCATGTTGTAGGATTGACGTTTCACACAAAACTATACCCAATTTGCGGACACTGTCCCTTTTATTTGAAAAGCGTGTGAATTTATTCCAGCAGCATGGCAGGTCTGAAGTACATCGGAAGTTAATCAATCACACGTGGTAACGCATACGAAGACTTCTGCCTGACGTTATCGCGTAGCTGGGGAAAATTTCGTAGTTTCGACCGCAAGCTTACGCGTTTGTGAAGCCTAAAAGTTTCCTGGTCTTGATACCCAAATGTCCATGTGCCACCTGTTGCTCAGATAACCTCATAGCGAAGTAAAGTACTCAATAGCACTAAATAAACCCTATTTAATTTGATCTTCATTCGGCTGTAATTTGTAATAGAGTTTCTTCGCACAACTTTACGTCGAAATTATATCTCATTCCGGAAGATACTCACGCTACTTTCAATGCTATATTATGTGTTTACTGCGAATGATATATTTATGCTCCGACAAATGATAATGTTGATTCTCAACATTAACGTCAATGATAATATTTGGAATAAGGAGATTGTGAATCGATCGGCCTGGATTTATGGCAACCGCAGGTAATAGTCCTGCGTTTGTTTGGAGTTGGGCACACATGAACCTGAGCAGAAATGGAGCCGAAAAATTCCAGCAATATTTGAACTTCATCCAGGTTTAGTACAATTTTTTTTTGTTTAGCCCACAGTTTCAAGAAAGTTAATGCAGCTGATACATGTAAATGTGTACAATCAAAGGATGTGTAGAGGCAGCTGTTAACTTAAACCAGTGGTTCCCAAACTTTTTCAGGCTGGCGCCCCCTTTGGCTCCCCAGTGAATCTCTAGCGCCCCCCCCCTCCGACTGACACATATAAAAATAAACGCCTCTTTCTTGATATTTAGTACGCAGTAATTTTAAAGGAAAGGAATTTTAAAGTCTGCTTATATCGCAAGTTCACAGGGAATTTAATAGCAAAGAAAACGCCAAGAAAATTCACCATATCGATATTGAAAACGTTTTGGAGTCCAGCTCCATCATCAGTTCGACTAAACTAAAAATGAATAAAATCATTTTATAAGTCAAAATTCAAAGATAGACATAAAACCTAAACAAGACCTAACATTATATCGAAATAAACAGGACTAGTCCTGTTTATTTCGATATAATTATATTCCGATATAATGTTAGGTCTTGTTTAGGTTTTATGTCTATCTTTGAATTTTGACTTATGATGGAGCTGGACTCCGAAACGTTTTCAATATCGATATGGTGAATTTTCTTGGCATATTCTTTGCTTTTAAATTCCTTGTGAATTTTTGTGTTCTATTAGTGAAATGTGTATTTCACTAATAGAACCCCATTTAGTAATCAATATATTTTTCTACAGTTTTAACTGTTTCAGCACTAGAAATTCAGCACTAAGCTTTGGGAACCACTGACTTAAACGGTAGATTATTGTAGTACACTCACTAAATTTCTACTCTCTAACGATAATGGCTATCGAACTGAAAAAATATATATGACTCTTAATATACGGTGGATCTGAAATTTCATATATCAATTGATGAAACCTGAATAATCGAATTAGACCAACTCTTAGATTACGATGATTCCCATGAAAATAATTCTCATGAAGTCAATGAGTTGATGGTAACAGGTCAGGATTAGCTTAATTATCATGGTACCAGGAGAGTAGACGATTGCTGCGCTAAAATGCATGACGGCATCTCTGGACGTATCCTGGATACTCAGCTGGGCGTCTTTAGACGTATAGTATCCTGGAGACTCAGCTGGACGTCTTTAGACGTGTCCTGGATATTCAGCTGGGCGTCTTTAGACGTATCCTGGAGACTCAGCTGGGCGTCTCTAGACGTATCCTGGAGACTCAGCTGGGCGTCTCCAGACGTATCCTGGAGACTCAGCTGGACGTCTTTAGACGTGTCCTGGATACGCAGCTGGACGTCTTTAGACGTGTCCTGGAGACTCAGCGGGGCGTCTTTAGACGTATCCTGGAGACTCAGCTGGACGCCTTTAGACGTATCCTGGAGACTCAGCTGAGCGTCTTTAGACGTATCCTGGACACTCAGCTGGAAAAGTAATAGACCAGGATTTGCATCGTACGTAGTCTTCGACAATCATGCTATGGCTCTTCTGGAACCGAAAGAGATTTATGGTGCGGCTAATGAAGTGAAATTTTTGGCACAAATATGAACAATTTAGAGAAAGTTAATTAACTTTTATAACAGAATTTTTTCGCTTTTTCTCAGCAATTTATGGATGAAATGTTTTTTTCAATGTTTTTCAAGGTTTGAATGAGTGCCACAATTTGATGAAATTCTGCGCTGAAACTGCTCTCAAATATTGTTAAATGCTATTTAATGGAACAAATTTTCCGGGAAAAAAAACTTACTCAGAACCTACAAGCAAATAAAAATTGTGTTTGGGCTATGTTAAAGTAGGCTTGTACTTTCGATGTTGATAAATTTATAAGAAAATCACTTTCACTTTATTAAATGAACATAACTAAAGATAAAAAACTTAGTGACCGCAAATTGGGGTAATATAAAAAATCAGTAAAAATTATGTGGCATGTAGCAAAAAATGAAATTATGGTTTTCGTACCACGCATCCAAAACGAAAATTTGTGGCTCGAAAATTATGTGGAACCCAGCATGAGAGCTGACATCGGGTTTTAATGTGAGCTTCAAGATGATAGTTGGTGCTAATTAAGGTAATATAGAGATAACGCACTCCGGCTGGCTTCAGTATATTTTCATTCATGTTAAAATCCTGCTGTATAAATACCCTGCTGATTCTAAAATTCTACGGCGCAATATATTGACGTTAATTGCAAAAATCAATTTTGGTATCGCCTCGCTACTATCACAGTTTCAAAAAAACGCACAGGTAGTTTTTAAATGGGGAAGAAATTCGGTTGCTTAACAGGACTCTAATCATCACCGCCTCGCTCATGTCTACTTAATTAATTATGTAAAGACGACACCAGAGAACGAATATCTCAAGTAAAGATCGAATGACGCGCTACATCGCTCTTTCATCTCGTAATCAAAGGAGTAGGGAGTTAGGTTTTTTGTTAAGCGGAGAGTTGGAATTAATTTTATAGAATAGAATAGAATAGAAGTTTCGGCGTTGAAAAAATAGGCCCATGGCCTGTTGCCGATTCTTGAACTTTTCGTGACTTGATTCACAAGGGATCCGGCTTTTGGAACCCGATCTTTCCATAGCTGACGATTGATTGAGATAGCTGCTGGACTTATTTATAGTGCAGTTTAAGAATGCGACAGCGTTTCTTTATAAATAGTGAAGGTTTATCTCTATTTTTAGCGCATTTTCTCATTTATGGAAAAAATGCACTATTGTGCTCGCCATGTCCGTCTGTCTGTCCGTCCGTCCGTGATCTCAAGTTTTCGTCGACGAGAAAATGCGCTCTCTGTCACTCACTGCAGTGAGTACTGAGTTATATATTTCCTGAAAAATATGCCAGAGTTCCTAAAATGTGTAATATTTTTAGCTGACGCAGGTTATATTGCACGGCCTGAAGGACATATTGGAAATATGCATCGCATTCTCTATCCACCCCAGTTGCCTTGATCGCTACGCATGCTCCCAGTGAAGTATTGGCGATGTTTCTACTTAAAATAAATCGAATTTGTAAGGTATCTTCTATGTCAGCGTATATCAGCTCCATCTCTGAGAAATACGTCTGTTTGATATAGTTTACGGTCTCGATCTCAGTCGCTCTCTATTTCCTAAGTCCTCATAGGTTCCTGCTTCGAATTTTAACAACGCTATGGCAGGAACCCAAGGGTCCCTATCTGCATAGGAAAAATTTCAACCGACGCTTTGAGCCTGATAAAGAAACGATTATTTGTTATGATTTCGAACTATTGAAAATGATTACTGAACTATTAAATTCTAGGAGTTACAACTTGGAGCAATGAGATATCGCTCACGTTAGTCGATGAGATGTAGCTCGCGCTCACGACGATTCAAACGATCTCTCACGAATGCCGCCGTCTTTATTCAAATTTGAAGTTCAGGTAACGATCTAATTACTACGCGAACTTTTAGTTTATTTTTGGAGAAAAATAAATTGAGATAGAAAAAATATGAGCTTGATGAATGCCTGAAACATTTTAATTCAGGAAAAGAATTTCAAGTCCGGTCTGGATTCATCCAAATAACTTGATCAATTCGTCGGAATTGTAATAATTCGATGAGTTCATATTATTACTAAGATTTTAATTGATATTATTTATATCGCACTTAGTAACACATTTAAAATCTTGAATTAAAGCAAAAAAAATATTCTCTAACTGTGATCCTAACTTTCGACCTCTTAATTTGTTATTTTACGGTGAACAACGAAATAATAAGATCCATATGTTGAGAGTTGAAATTTAAATGCGCTGTAACCCACAAAGAAGTAAGAAATATGAAAATCGAGAATAGAGATTTATTCATAGAGTTTTTCGAGCTTTGCAACAGTATCTATTTGTCATCCCATGATTTGTACTTTCCCACGGTTAATGTTCATAAAGTAGTGTCCCAGTCGCTGTTTAAGCATGGGCGAGGATCCAGTCTACGAAGTACGACACTTTGGTGTACACTTCCGGGTTCCCAAAGCTGCCGCATTCATATCCAATGGAGGTAATTCCGCAAAGACAATCCCCACACGTCAGAGGACCGCCCCCGTCACCGGTACAGGCTTCCTTGCCGTCTTCCGCAGCGCAGATCACCGATTCAGCAATAGGTGAAACTCCATTCCTGCCCGCACAATTTTCGTCGTATTGGCACGCTGACTTACTGCACGGTGTCTGGAGTGCTGCCTCTTGGGCTCAAGGTTCCCCATCCAGAAACGAAAGCATTTCCAGAGAAGTTCTGTCCCTGAGAAGGAAGGGTCAACCCCGGACACATAGGTGTTAAATTCGAGAGGGGATTCAACTTTCAACAACGCGATATCATTCCTAGCAGTGTTAACGTTGTAGTTCTCGTGCGCAATGATCTGAACTACGAATCTTGATTGCTCGGT